CACCTCCCTTCGTGTCTTCACCATCGTTTGTGTCTCCACCGATGGGGGGTGGGGTGAATCATCAGAAGCTTTCCCCCGAGGTGAAGAAGAAGATTAAGAGTATAAGAAATAAGCTTTACTACAGGAGGAAGAAGAAGGACCAGAACCTTATTAAACTCCAGCCAGAGCGGTGAAGACGCAGCTTGAGGAATGGTGGCCAACAGTACGCCATCGTCAGACTTTGATTTCTTCGCGTCCTATGTGAGTGAAGTCAAAGGTCACATTTCCCTAGCGCCCCTGGGTTACTTCCGTTGTTTATTATGAATTTATCTTGACTGTTCATACTCTTTGTTACACCACACTAAATTGGATATTCACTGTTTTTGCATTTTACAGGTGATTGTCTCAAGTGGCTACATTTTGATGGCCGTTTTCCTAACACTAATTCTCACGTATGTCCATCTCACTCAAGAGAATATTTTTCGACTACCTGTTGCACGATCGGTGCTGCGTGTCCTGTGGGTGTATGCGACCGTGTGGAATCTTTTCACCGGTAGGGATGCCCTTGTAGAAATCACGACCATATTTTGGAATACTTTCACTACACTACGGAAATCCTGGTGCTGTGTAAGTAAACGAATTTGACTTTTTAATGGTTAGTACGTTTTAATGGTTAATATTGTTGATATAAATATAAAGAATTTTACTACAAATACTGTACAGAAAATAGTAGATTGATATCATTCATGGAAATGCTTACATTTCTAAAATTAATCTCACTTTCTCCCTTCTCGATTTCACAGGCAGTTGTCACTCTTTCCTCCATCCATCTCCTGCATCTCATATATATCCCGATTTTCCATTTCACAAGTGAACTAACAATCCTATATGGCAAGAAAGACATTTCATATTTCCGAGACAATTTTAATGCCATTTTTTCCCTGGTTTGTGAAATTAGCAAGCAAAGTATTTGTCCCCAATTTGACTTATTGTTCGGAAAATGTATTTCTCTTCCTAGTTCTATCCTAGTTTTATATTTTCTAATCTTCCGAACCTGGCAGATGCAGCTGGTTCCACTAGAACTGGCTGCAATTAATTTCATAGCGTTGGCATGCGTTATTCAAGATGTAGGTGCAAAGCTGTCGGCTGATTGCACACCTGAGGACAGACTTTACGTTCTACAACAAATCATAAACCTTCGCGAATTGACCGGAAAAATAACAGAACATTTCAGTTTGGTAATTACCCTTCACATTCTAGTGGGATTGTTAGACCTTGTTCAGTTTTTTGTTTCGTTTTTTTCAACCCATTATACCCTCACTGTTTCCGACCTGATTGACACAAGTGTCGATGCTGGCATCGTTGTCCTGACAATCGTTCTGCTAGCCGAGCTGGATGCACAGATTTGCAAAATATATGCGCTTTGCCATATTAAATTATAAAGGAATAGTGCACAAGCTGTTAGCTTTAGCAGGAACTATGTAAGTTCTCATGTGATGACGCCAGCCGTCTCTCACCGACTTTGATGAAACCCAGATCCGCTTTTTTTAGACATGCATACACCAGAAATTCAAGATATGTAGAGGGACACGTGTTTAGCCTAAATCTAATAGAATACACTGGGAGACCTCTATTTGCATGTGTAGGAATGACAGCCAGATTGAGCAAAATTTCCGGTGATACATAGGTATCTTCGAAAAGAATAAAAATATACATACCTCTTTATGTCCGTATGCAGTGGGAAATGTTGCGGCGATTTATTCTGAACTATGAATCCGTCAAATTGGTGGGACACGGTGGACCAATATTTCCTCCAAGTAGTGACCACTCGACATTCCGGGAGGAACTATTAACAGTCAAGATAAGACACTATGCCCTCAAAAGGGTTGCCATCACTTGGGGGAGTGTCATTAAAGTAAGTTTAAGTGCGAAGCTCATAAATATATGTACCATTGATATATGCAATGAGTATGTAGCATTTTCTAATTCAAATCAAGTTATCGCAGAATTTGTTTGCCATGTATCAGTATGTACATATTTTGCACTTTGTGGGCTGATTGGACATAAGTTTTATGAAATAGCTCGGGATTAAAGTTTTGTCATATCAGTAGCAAATTTTTTACGCATACGTAAAAATTTACCAGTCGACCGGTATAATTTTGAGACCAAGTGGTGGCAACTTTTATACCGGGAAATTGATACCTGCATGACTTCATAATTCCAACATTGTGCCTTCATGATTATTTAAAAATGTAATTAATTTCTAATTAAGTCATCAATTAGTTTTGACGGAAGTAATTGTAATTAATTCCCCAACCGATGGATGTAACATGCAATTGAGTAATTACATTCTCTCGTCAGATATAACTAAGTAATTACTAATTAATTACAAAATCGAGTAATTAAGCAACACTGGTTTTTGGTCACCCGGCTTTTTAAAATCACGACATAACCATCGGTCTGCTGTTCTTAATCCGAAACCAGTTTTAAATTATCTAAATCCAGAGATTTATTTGGTATTTTCTTTGTTACACAGTTGCTTCAAGTCATCGCAGCCGCAGGAATTATTCATACGTTTTATCCAAGTTTTTGGAATCTTCGGGGTTAAATGCAAATCTTCAAGCTAATCAGACAACGGAATCGGGGTAAGGTGTCAGATATTTATCCATATCAAGTATTAAAAAAATTTGTGTAGTGTTACACATGTAATATGTGTGTACATGTGTAGCAGTAGTAAAGCAGCACATTGACGTACACGCTTATCCTTAGTATCTGAATATGTATGTTAATAAGTGAAATCAAAAAATAATTGAAACTAAATTAAAATAGAGTCTTAGGCGGGATTATGTTTTTCTGAATTTGTTGAAGCGTAAGCAGGCCAATAAATGAAAGTGTGTATATCTATGTATTAACCTATTTAGATTAAAGTCCACTTCGTTTACCTATGTTTGTACAAACTTAAAATGTCAATTTAGCAAATAGTTAAGTACGGGTATGCATAAGCACACCTGTTCACGTTTATTTAATTACTACGCAATGAAGAATCAATAAGTGAATAAATAATTCATTGACGGAATGAATAAGGAATGAATAATTCAATATTTCAAAATGAATGAGTGGGTTTTTTATTCATTCATTTTTTGCCCAATGTTAAATACATGGGACGAATGAATGAAGGATAATCTATATTATAATTTCGAAAAGTCCGTCCCGTGTAATTTTCCGTGACATTCCTGCATTTTGATTGGTTGCCGGCTTTCCGTATCCAATCAGAGCACTGATATGATTTACGACTATAGTTGTGATTTCGGTTATGATTTCGGTTATGATTTCGGTTATGATTTCGGTTATGATTTCGGTTATGATTTCGGTTATGATTTCGGTTATGACTCCGGTTATGATTTCGGTTATGATTTCGGTTATGATTTCTGTTATGATTTCGGTTATGATTTCGGTTATGATTTCGGTTATGATTTAGGTTATGATTTCGGTTATGATTTAGGATATGATTTCGGTTATGATTTCGGTTATGATTTCGGTTATGATTTCAGTTATGATTTCGGTTATGATTTCGGTTATGATTTCGGTTATGATTTCGGTTATGATTTCGGTTATGACTCCGGTTATGATTTCGGTTATGATTTCGGTTATGATTTCGGTTATGATTTCGGTTATGATTTCGGTTATCATTTCGGTTATCATTTCGGTTATGATTTAGGTTATGATTTCGGTTATGATTTAGGATATGATTTCGGTTAAAATTTCGGTTATGATTTCGGTCTGGTTTTAAACAATCCTAAAAACATTCCGTATCAACCTTCAAAATCTTCCTTAGCAACGTTAAAAAATTCCTTAGCAACGTTAAAAAAACTCTATCAACGTTACAAAAATTCCTTAGCAACCTCAAAAAAAATTCCCCAGCAACGTTAAACAAATTCCTTAGCAACGTTAAAAAAATCCCTTAGCAACGTTTAAAAAATTCCTTAGCAACGCTAAAAAAATTCTCTAGCAACGTTAACAAAATTCCTTAGCAACGTCAAAAAAATTCCTTAGCAACGTTTAAAAATTTCCCTAGCAATGTTAAAAGAATCCCTTAGCAACGTTTATAAAATTCCTTAGCAACGCTAAAAAAATTCTCTAGCAGCGTTAACAAAATTCCCTAGCAACGTTAAAAATATTCCTTAGCAACGTTTAAAAATTTCCCTAGCAATGTTAAAAGAATCCCTTAGCAACGTTTAAAAAATTCCTGAGCAACGTTAAAAATATTCCCTAGCAACTTTAAAAAATTCTTGAGTAACGTTAAAAAAATTCCCTAGCAACGTTAAAAAATTCCTGAGCAACGTTAAAAATATTCCCTAGGAACGTTAAAAAATTTCTATCAATGTTAACCAGATTATGTAGCAAGGTTAGAAAAATCCCAATCCGATTGATTGATTGGGTAATTAGGAAGGCCGGCTACCAATCAGAATTCAGGAACGTCGTGGAAAGTACGCGACATACATTCCTTATGAAATTAAAGTATATTTAGATGTTGTTTTTACTCTCGAATTAGATTAGATTAGTTGCGTACTGGTTGAATCTAACGATTTGGATGTCTTCGCTTAAAATTTAAATATGGACCGTCTTTAAGACGGGCTTATAGGCTAGTGAATGAATAATTCAAATTGATTTTCGAAATGAATGAATTTTGGACGAAAGAAAAAAATTGGAAAGGTGTGTGTATAAGTTCAACATATACGATAATACATACATATTTATGTGCATTATATTAACATTACGTACGAATAAAAAGGATTTATGTAACCTTTTAAGATGTATGATTAAGATCAAGAAAATAAAATGCATGCATCAATTAAAGGATGTTGTATGTTGAATTCCAAATTTTTTTGGCAAGAGAAAGTTTAAGCTAAACATTTATGCAGCTTGCATATGATAAATTCTTCAAAACTCCAATAGATTTAACGTGGCGAGGAGAAAATGTAAAAATTAATGACTTTCCAGAAACAATGCCGGCACCACAATCCTTAAAAATCACTTTAGTCTTCCTTTGACATTTACCATTTCTTATAAAAGGATAATTCTCTTCACGAATCAAAGGATTAAGTAAAAATGCAAACATAAGGAAATGAAACAACTTTCTCGTACTGCTAGAAACATATTTTAGAAAACATTAAGTATCCAGTACGTCTTCATGTGGTGGATCCTACGTTGATATTTTTCGTCCAGCTTGTGCTCCCCGTACCGGTAATTCTTCAATGTACGAGACCACGACGACCAAAAAGTAGAAAAATGTTGCAATCCCAAATATTGACAATATGGTCACATTTCTTGGTCCGGTTGTAAGATATGCTATTTTGACGATGACCCCCATCGCAAAAAGGATCCCGTGTGCCCCCAACCAAATTATGCAGAGCATCCTATTTTTCTGCGGATAAAAATATGTAAATTATTATTCAAGTCTTGAAAATGAATATATAAATTTTGAGGAAAACTGGATTCAAAGATTCAGAAATTTTTGCAATGTTTTACCCCTTATTTTTTAAGTTTTAAGACTTCATATTTATTTATTACTATCTGTATTTACTTTACTGTACCTTGACTGCGCCGAGGAGCAATATTATTCCAGACGTAATATAAATCACACAAATTCCGAGATCCATCGTGGACAGGATAAATGTTGCCGCTGTGTTGGAAAAGTTTTAATTAAACAGTGTGAGTTTACTCAAATTAAGAGAATATCCTTACACAGTTTTTTAGCCTGTGGATCCAGACGTGTTTCCAACACGATCCCTAAGCTCAACTTGATTGTGTTAAGAATCTAAAAAAAGAGGTATTAGTGCAAAAATTAATGACCACTTTTAGAAAAAGCCCTTGGCCAATTAGCCAAAAAAAAATACAACTTTACTCAGGTTTTTAATGTTGTAAAGTTGTGTATATCAACATATTTTATAAGGTTCCGTTCATAAATTATGTAATGCGCGAGGGGACCTGTTTAGTTACAGTGATAGGTATCATGCCTATGTGACACAACACGAGGGAGGATGGTGTAGAAAATCTCGTTCATAATTTATGAATGTCACCCTAAAAGTTACGGATTTTACAAGTTGTTCACGACTACGTGAATGTCCGTAAAAAATCGCAACAAAAAGGAAATAATTGGCGAACTTGTCAATCTCTCTATAAAGTTCGCAAAATATTTTTCTTTTAACTAGTTTACGATACTGGCTGGTAAAAAGTATTCCAATAAATTTTTATCAACTTACAATTTGGAAGAGAGCAATGCACACAGTGTAATAGCGGAAAGACATTTCTGTCACGTCTACAGTTTTTTTATCGGAATAAAATACATCTCGAAAAATAGGCAAATGCAAAATATGCTGCTAAATATCTACAGTCCGTGGGACGTGCTTAGGAGTGACCGAATTTATTACTTGCTCTGATTAAAAATATCGACATATGGCCCAGGCGAGATTAATGTATACAATACCACACTATAAATAATTTGGGGACAAATGGAGGCATAAATCCTACAGTACTCATATTTTGTGTAATGATTAAAGAGACATTTTATCACTAAGGGCAAATATGTACAGAGAGTAAATCAAGATACAAAACTCACTTTTATTTATTTTTCTGTAGCTTTATTCTTCGTTTATGAATTTTGTGAATTGCTTCAATGTGTAGCCCATTAGTTTGTCTAGCGAGGTGCAATCGCTTTTTCTACGCTATTATCTGTATGTCAAGAACGTAGTGTACCAAACAAATGTGACGTTGTTATTAGAAAAAATGACGTTTCCATTGAAATATTTACCACAAATGTTGTATTATTTTATAATAATGATGTCACATGATATGAGTTTTCGACATATTTTCCACACTGTTAAAAATCTGGTATACTCCATGTTGGTATTGATTTGGTAATAATTTCCTACTGGATTGGTAGTAAATTGTTCATGAGTGGAAAATTTCTCATTACCCCAACATTACTTTACGGTAACACCAGTGCAGGTAGAGTCCCATATGTATGTACTCCGGTCGGCAATGCTTTAATACCAGTTTTCTTAAAGTGCGTTACCTCGTTAATCGTTACCATATGTATCTAAATTACTATGCATGATATGCATAAAACCTCGGCGAGGGAAGATTTATCATCAAATTATTTAGAGTTTGTCTGTATATGTATGTATCGTCGTAACAAAATTAGTTCTCAATACTATGCCAAAGTCCAGCCGCTGGACTCCGTATGAATGTATGTAAGATAAAAAGATACCTAAAAAATCTTTAATTATTTCTTCCCTATTAATCACAAACCAACGGTGTGCAATAAATGGATTCATTTCTACGAGTTCGTACATATATTTCCATGAGAACGTATTTTTTCAAAAATATTTTGCTTAACTTAGCCACCAGCGGGGTTCATGATTTTCTAACAACTCACGAATCTTATCCCGTGCTATTTTTCCTAAAAATGTAAACTTTTAATGCATATCCCCAATACGGCTCCTATCTTATACATACCGACAACAGTTCTATAAAAAGCAATAAAGCATACAAGTAATAAGCTAAGAACAAATTATGAATTTCATTTTGGGTGAAGCGTTTTCACAAATAAATATAAAATATTAAAGCTTTTATTTCATATTATTAACACGTTTAACAAAACTGTCATGTATTGGTAAAAATACAAAGCTAGCTGGTACATAATAAAACTGGAAGATTTTGTGGGTTTTCTCGAGCACTGGAAACAAAAGATGCAATGCCCATGACACGTCTTCTGGAAAACCAAACTCATACTTATCCACATATGTATGTACATACCTATATACGTAAAACCAGATGCATAATTGTAAACAGCGATAAAACCCGTGTAATAAAACGGTAGATATAATAAAAATCTTGCCACAAAGAACATAAGCCATTAATTTTACCCGTGTATTTATGTATCTGCATACCGTGCAAATGTTCACCACGTGCATACTGCAAGGAATCTCATTCAACTTGTGTGTGTACATATGTAACACTGATGAAGAGCAATATGTAAATATTTGCCATGCTACAAATAAAAAAAAAACAGATAGCCAATACTTATATTGTGCAGCAACTTGTGGAGAACAGTTAAGTAGGGTTTTGTATTATAGATCGAATGATTGAATAAATAATTTACAAAATAAAGGAATAATGAATGAATATTTTTAGGGGGATTTTTGAAAGAATGATGTGGGTATTTACTAAGAGTTAGCATCTTCAGCAAATAAAAAAATATTTAAGGTAAATACTAAGGCCTGAAGATTAATTCATGCATCTCCAAGGATAGAATTTAGTTCGGACAAAATTGCTAAAATTTATGTTGCGATCTCGTCATGAATACCCCTAATATTTATTCTTTTCATATTAATAAAGAATATTAATGAATGAATATTTTTTTCACTTATTTAGTTTTTTACCCAATGTTTAATAGATGCAGAGGATAAATAAATTGAGAAATTCCTCAAGACATTTGAAGCAAAATTATAATTAATGAATAGTGAACGAATATTTTATCTTTTAATTTTGATGAATTCAATAACGAACGGGACATTCTTTTAGTAAAATAAAATAAATAAATGCCTTTTCAAGAAACATACATTTTTTTTAATACGTAGGACCAAATTTCGTTTAAATATCTGTTATTAACGAGGAGCAAATATTCGATGATTGAGGTGGGTGCAGCATTTCGATCTAACATTTACATACCATCCAAGAAATATACGACTACAATTATAAATTATATGACTCATAAAACTTTTAAAACTCGTAACCCCCAAGGTATACCAATTCTTTACGACATACACTGCGAAAATACCCCAATTTCGTACTATCTTAAAACTATGTCTTAATTCCATCACAATACGGACAACCTTCAAATGCCCCTTGCAAAATGCGATTTCGCCAAAAAAGCCCAAAATTGCCAACGGGATAAAAATCAGTTTGAGCTGAAAGGCCACAGAAAGGTTTTCCAATGCTCCAATACCCTTTTGTTCCAAAACCGGGTGTTTTCGAATATTTGCGTCATCCACGAATCTCCAAAGAGTTGCGTACAGCTGGAAAAGTCCGCTGGAACTTAACCATTGCAAGTTTCTGTATAACGCTTCTGCCCCAAGGTATTTAAACTCCCAGATAATGTTGCGCTTGTAGAATATTTCCTTGACAATATTACACGTCACGTTGGTATACTGACGTCTCAGAAAATACAAAACGTTTTTTATGTGGTCGGACGTTGGGTCGAAAGCGATGGAATCGGCAAACACGGCTGCTCCAGGAAATTCATTGTAGCAAGTGTGGTTCGGCAAAATTTCTAAGAAATATTTGAGGTATTGATTAATTACTTTGCCGAAACGACGAATCACATAATCAAAGTATGCAAGAGAAATGTTTCGGCTACTCTGATTGGTCCACGAAAATTATATATGAATAGGTTTAAAACCATCGGACGTACTTATTTACCGATTCTTATCAATAACATACATATGTAAAATGGGCTTGCCGATGTTCGATCGAAAAACATATTCCAATTTCATACCTTCTTTCCATACGAGATCGTCCTCGTTAGACAATTTTCGTACAGATAAATGCCACTTGGTTGTATTCTTTGAGTCAGGTGATCCATACAATTTGAATCCGAATTCTGTCAATAGTTCGCGAATATTTTTCACCACATATTTTTCTAATGGTGTCGTTATGTCGGTGGTAATTATAGCATCGTAAGAAAAGCTGACCGCATTCATCGCGACAATGCAGAGTAATCCAAACCATGTTATTCTTTTTCTGGAATTATAATAACCTGTATACAAAATCAATCGATAAATATTGATCGGTAAATGTTTATTGATTTCTACCCGTCAAGTACTGAAACCCTCACAAATGCCGCTGCAATATCCGAATACCCGCCTAACTTGGTCACCCCTAAATATACAGATAGAAGTATTGACGCTGTCCAAATCCAGGGATCAATTATGGTGAAAAACTGTGATATCTTTAATGACAATAGGGTCGGATTTTTCTGACAATAGAGCACATAGTAGTCCAGCGTTTTTTCGATGTGGTATTTAACTCCGATATCCGGCCTACATGATTAAAACGTTTTTGCAAATGTTCAAACTTTTTCGAAATAAATACTCTATAAATTATGGTAATTTTTGTACACAAGAAGCATAACGAGGTCGTGACACTACTAAATTTATTACGGGAAGGTATCACATGGTCTGGAGGATAAAGAATTCAAAATTCGCAGAAATTATTGTTACCACTTTATGACAATTGTACCAAATGACCATTTTATACCACGTTATTCTTAGTGTACTTGTTAAATAATTTAATCCAGCAACCTTAAATTGTCGTCTTGTTGGAAAACCTTGAATTCTGTAAATCTATTGTACCAATAGCTAGAAAAAAAAGTGATTACAAAAATTAATACCTACAAATTTTTTAATCCGTTGCTTCCAGAAGGAAACCATACAATTAATTTAAAATACACTGCCAAAACATAATTATGATAAACTACAAAATTATAATTAAAATTCTTACCCACGTTTCGGCACAAACGTAATGTTTAACTTCCTCTGTAAAATTAGCAGTGGTCCGTTCACGGCGAAACATCTCCTCTCCATAGATACAAAGTAGCGATGGTTTTCACAATCATTTTGCAAGAAAGGAACCCAAGTTTCTTCTTCGATTGGCAATCTATGCCGATTTTGGTTATTGTCAGACATTCGCCTCTCCCTGATTAAAGCGTCTCCTGGCGGAAATGACATGAGACTAACATGCGCCTCCCCATTCGGCGGAGGAATTATTTCCCATTCTTTCAACCAATTTAATTTCGTGGGGTGTAGAAATCCGGAATAAATCTTGATCCCATCATCCCAAAAATTCAGTTGAATTAAGTAAATTGGTGTGTAAAAACTTTCTAAATATGAAAAGACCATATCATCCCGTCTCAAATTATTATGGGCCCAGACTGAAAAAACCGTGTAGATCACAACATTCGCTTGATACCCCCAATTGCTAAGGTCATGCAAGAACACTGCGGGATTACCAGATTCGTAAAATGTGACGATTTCGATACAATTCATCTTCCACGTGAAGAACGTATTAATTGTAATGTTAGAGGGTAAATGCTTCACGACGAGAGCGCTACGGTGGGCGAAGGATAAGTGGTTATCGTACTGCAGGGTTAGGTCAGATTGCCTACTTTCGCTTCTTAGAGTAGACATCAGTAAACAGGTCGGATTATGGTCAAAGTTTGTTAAGGTGGACGCAAAATGGACGGAAATGAGGAAACAGTTGACGAAAAGAATGATAGCCATGTTGTCGTGTAAATGATGAAACCTTGGTTTTCTTCGCAGGAATGTCGAATGTAAAGAGAAAAAATGATGACGCGAATAAATTATTATAATTTGGACAGCACT